TTTCATGACAGATTGATTTTGGGATTTTATCACATTGCATTTGAAAGAAAGGAATAGTAGACAGAACAGACTGAGCCAGGGTAATCCTTCCAGCTTGTGAAGACACTTTGAATGCCAGTCATTCAACTTATTTTGAACCTTTTCAACAATATTAGCATAAGCTTCCTTAGATGCTCTACCATGCTTCATCCACACCCCCAAATGTCTCCCTATATTACACACTTTCTTAAAACCACAAACATTCGTGATTTCAGCTGCTACATTATCTGGAGTGTTTCTTGAGAAGAAAATACTAGTCTTCTGTTGATTCACTCTTTGACCCGAAATATCACCAAACAGCTTCAAACACTTGAGAATAATTTGAATATGATCTACAGAAGCTTCGGCAAAGAGCATTAAGTCATCAGCAAACATCAAGTGGGATACATCAGGACCTCCTTTTCCAGCCTGAATTGGCTTCCAAAGCTTACCTTGAACTGCAGTGTTGATAATATGGCTGAGTTTCTCTATTGCAATAACAAACACATAAGGAGAGAGGGGTCACCTTGACGGACACCTCTTGAAGGTTGAAATTCCTCAGACATCCCTCCATTCCATAAGACATAATAATACCAATTAAATTTTTCAAAATTTGCACCTCGTGAAGAATTTTTTTAATAAAATTCCAACTTACTCTATCATAAGCTTTTTGTAAACCCACCTTGATGGCCATGAAAGTCTTCCTACCTTTCGTTCTATTTCTTTTTACTTTTTAATTCCCTTACTATGAGCTATTATTAATTACTAATTCAAATTACTTTAATTCTCTTCAACTCGATATCCGAACCGAGTTGGTGATCTTTGCGGATTTAATAATATTGACCCCAAACATAACTCAGAGATCCTCATAAAAATATTCGATGTTAATCATAATCAACCCCTCAGACGCAATAAACAATGCAACACTCCCATCCAACAGAGTATGGTCCCATGCACTTAAAATTCGTCCACATGTCGCATACTTATATGCAAAAAAAAAATCAAAAGAAGAAAAACTCAACCTTTCATCACCATACCTCAAATAAAAGGAGCCCTTTCACAAGCCCCAAGTAACCTAACCTAGCCGTCCATAAAGTGAACATTAAAATGAAAGACCAGGATAAAATATAGTTGACCTATTGAACAGGTAATTGACTACAGACGATTTTTTATTATTTGGTTTCCCCAGTATTTGAAATTTTTCATATAGCAATTTTGCTAAAAGAACCCAATGACCAATTTATTTTTTTAAACAGTAAACCCCGAATCCAGCAGCAGCAAATTGCTACTTGTTTTGTGGTACAAGATAAAGTCTGTTTTAATAAAAAAAAATTATCAATGTTAAATTTTCTGTTTTCTTTAAAGTGAGAGGTTATACTTACAACCTATTTTCCTTTACAACCTCTTACAACCAATATCTTAACCGTTGATTTCCGTCAATCAACGGTTAAGATTTATTGTGAATTAATAATTATTTAATAAATTTTATTTGCAAAAATCTTAACCGTTGATTGACGGAAATCAACGGTTAAGATATTGGTTGTAAGAGGTTGTAAAGGAAAATAAGTTGTAAGTATAACCTTCATCTTCTTTAAATTACGAAACTGGAACATTTATTCTGTTTATAATTGTATTTATGGGTTTTATTTTTATTTCTCTCCTACTCTCACAACAAATGGTGGGACCCATTTTATTTTTTAAAAAAGAAAAGAGAAAAAAATAGAACACAAATATCGAAGTGAGAATAGAAAATAAAATTTTTCTTATGTAACATAAGAAAATCTGTATTTATAGGTGAATTTGTCATACAATAGAAATAAAAGGTATGTTTCTGGTACGGGCAAAGTATGTTGATATGATGATGATCTATAAAACACCGACACTTCAAAAATCCTGATGTGTTGTGTCCACACTTTCCGACACTCATCGACACTTCGACATTCCAATACTTGTTGCAAATACTCAAAAAAGGTTCAAAATTTACGTTGCATCGCATTCTGAGTTTCAACTATTAGATTCTTTATATTATAATTACCATTTTATTAAGTTTAATATAAACATTTGAGATATCTTATATTTCTTTGCAAAATTTATGGGTATTATAAGTTTAGCTTTATTTTATTTTTAAAATTATTAAATATTAAATATGACATATACTACATAAATTAAAAATGTTATATAATATCAAAACATCTCCTAACGTGTCAAAATTTAACATTTTTTAAAATTAACGTGTCAGACTGTCGTGTCGTATCCCGAGTTCCATGTCGCTATCTGTCGATGCAACATAGATGATGATTGAGTATACAATGGTATAGATTAGAACTCTTCAGAGTTACATTACTAGCCTCTGGCTAGCTGAGGATATATGTGACAGTGAGGTGTATTGGACTCAGTTATGACTATGGTGGAGATTAAGCAACGGCAAGCTTAGATAATGAAAAAGATAATTCATTTAGGTGGTGTTTGGTTGGGAGCTTTTCAGCAGATATCTATCTTTCTCAAGTATGGCTTTTAGAAACACCATGTTTGTTTCAACGTTTTTCACCAAAAACCCATCTATCCAATTTGTCTGGATTTATGAGAAACATAGATATCCGCACTATTTAAAAACTCAATTGGAAGGTGGGATTTTTCGGAAAACCGGTTATCTGACTTTTAATGCACTGTTGATTTCATAAAGCTATCTAATTTTTCCAGTAAAGTTTTTCCTCACCAAACAATTTTTTTTTACATTTTTCTACCTATCTCACTTTATCTATCTTTCCAATCATTTCTCTATCTATCTCATTTCCCTACTATTCGAAAAAAATCTCCTAAACCAAACGCCCCTCAAAGAGACTCAATCCTCTATTTACAAGATGGGAGGTTTTCTTCTAGCATATAAAGTGTGATGCCATAAACATTTTAGTTCTGTGGACACCATTATGGCATGGGACTACATGACCCCTAATGTTGAAAAGGCTACCTGTGTATGAGAAATGTAAGAGAACACGTCTACTCTGGAGTCATACGCTTCATACATGATGTGTTTGAGGCCTTCTCCGATAACCATATGAAACTAACTGGGCAAGGTCATCCGATCAATTGAGCACCATAAATATGCATGTTCATGCTTGCTTTGTCACATAAGGGAAACAATGTCTGACGTCAAATTACAAGTGTCCTCCTTTTTCGTAAATATCATGATTATTCCAGAGGAATGGAAACTGTTAAGAAAACACTGATTCTATTTGAATTTAATTTTTCATCCAGATAAAATACAGTAAGCCCACCAAAGGTTAAAACCCAAACACAATAAACCCGTAAAGGGTTAAGGGCCCAAGTAATGTGCGATATCCATGTCGCGCATAAAAAATTAGAGGAGCGATGACTTCATCGTGCCCAAACCGTCTTTAACATAACTTCATAGTGAAGGAAGTGATCAAATAGGTAAAAGGCCACTGCGCTATAAAACCAATACACAAGAGACAGCAACAGCTTGCCACTACTCTATCAAGATAGCCTCATATAATAGAATAGGGCCAGAGCAACACCAACTGAACCTGCAGTCCTTCTACAGCCAATCAGAAGATACACCGCCTATCAAATGCGGTATCTGATTCACTATATAAGCAAAGGATACAAACCCAGATAAGAGAATCTAATTCAGTAAGAATACCACATAAATCTGACTTTGATACCGGCTTGAGCGTCAGAGTGTCATGGCAGGTACCTCCAGTTTGGATCATCGCGCCAAAAAAGAATCATACCCATCGTATCATCAACAACTATCAACAACCCATAAAACAGATAACCCAACCCAAAGTCTTCACACATCAACCGTGTGTGATTAAGCTCAATACATGTTAGCCTAACCATATTGTCTTGGTCTCATCAATTTTGTTTTTCAGTTATTCAAATTTGTTTTGTAATATAAATTTTAAAAATTAATAAAAGTATCTCATGTAATCATATAAGAAAATATAAAGCTTAATTGAAACCATGTGAGAAAAACTAAGAAAAATATAAAATATAAAGCCCTTGCATAAGAAATAAATCATCTCATATTAACAGAAAAAAACATTAATTTCAAATATTATTAAGGGTTTAATATTTCTTTCTTTTTACAAATAAACCAAAGGCAAAGGTATCCTCCTTAGGAAACAATACTATTTGAATCCTTCCAAAAATGATACTAAAAAAATTGAACGCGTACTAAGCTATTATTATTTGGTAAAATTTAATATTTCTTATGTTATAAAAGATAAATTTTACTTCCTACACATATAAAAAAATATGAGGCCCATGTGAAGAAAATATATATATATATATAAACCACACACTACTATATATATAAAAAAATTTTATCTCCTACAACATAAAAAACAATAAACCCTATGCAAAAGTAATAAAATCAACATAAAATTTTGGCTCTTCAATTTGACTCCTAACAGTCAACTTTTACAAAATTTACTAAAAACTAAATTGATTTTACAAAAAAATACCGAACAACTGCATAATATAAATTTTAATGAGTTAATAACAACTGCATAATATAAATTTTAATGAGTTAATGGACTACCTGTGGGTTCGACAACTATTAAAAGAACTCTCTAACTTGAGGGTCAATTGTAAAAACAATTACTCTGGTTTTTAAATGGATAAAAAAATTATGACTTTTTAATGAGTCGCTTAAACTGGCAAAATTTCATAGACTTGGTTGGTGCACAGGTTATTCTACCCAAGAAAAATGCTACCTACCCACTTTAATAGCACTAGTCCACAGTACAGGGTTGCCATGCCATCAAGAAACATAATTAACACCCACCCCGGATCTTGAATTATATCATTCAAAGCATCAAAGAAAAAAAGACCCCTTCACTATTTTGAATTTCCTCAAGAAAGATTGCAAAAATCCAAAAACAGGACCACACCGGGCCCTGGAAAACTGTTGCAGCAGAGTGACATTGCACAAAGTAATAAGCAAGTAACAGCAAAGAAAGGGGATAAAAATAAAAACAACATTGCATTTAAATTGGAACATGAAAAGATAACCAGTACAATTCAAGGTTACACCATAGAAGCATAATAAACTTCACTATATCTTAACCATCTGCAGTAAATATTCAACTGCGCAGATCACCTCTAATTATTCCTTCAAAAAGATTATCACTTCAACCTTTTTGGCATTAGACAACAGGAAATCACTGACATACTTAACTTGGTAAACTTCGGAAGGAAATTGAAAACAAACAAAGCTACTGGTTTTGTTGCTATATAAAACATCTGGCTTTTTTCAAAGGAAACCGGAGTAAAATGGAAAAAGGCAAAATCCTGGAACGGGGCGTTTTGGAAGAAAAATACATAACCTCGACAGGATTGAATTTTAGCCCAAAGAGAGACTGTTCACCTCTCCTGAAGCTCTGTAGTAAAATAATGAATGGCAATTATTTTCTTTAAAAAAAATAGAATATTCTTCGGCAACTTTGCAGCCAACCCTCCTTTTCTTTCACTACATTTCCTCCTGACTCTCCCCAAAAAATTTCACCAAAAGAATATGTACCTTTCGAAATTAAATACCTATCTCAACAAGATGTAAAGGGTCAATTTGATTAGACTACAAGCTGGTCCAGTTGCATTTGCTCGAGCCAAGCTCCTAAAACAGAATGATCAACAGATTCAACTTCTGAATTGGAATTCAATCCATCAGCAGATGCAATAGGGCCAGAAGATGCAAACTTCTCTTTCATCGCCTCGGGTGGGGACTCCTTCACCAGGGATTGGACCCAGGATAGATCAGGCTCTTCCTCATTGTTTTTAAGCTCAAATGAGGAGGTTCTTCGCATTTTTTGACCTAGCTCAGCTCCATTGACTGACCAATCAACTTTTCCATTAGGAGATCCCCACTTAGACCAAGGGTTTGCAGGGGAGCCAACAAATGAGGCGGGATTGTTGACACCAAGATCCCTTGAACTAAGACTCCGCAGTTGTTGCTGCTGTTTCTCACGCTGGGCAAATGCAGATATACGAGAGCTCATTGGAGAGATTGGTTCAACACTTCTTGGTGACATCCTTCCAGGAGAAGAGACCCCAAATGAAGCCTGTAAAAGAGGATGCTCAACATTCTTGGGAGACAGCATATTGGTATTTATAGGTGATAACATACTTTGAAGCTGTTGAAACTGATTCATAACAGCTGATTTGTGTGTAGGGGAAAAAACAGAACCCCCTGCTGGCTCAGAATACCGGGGAGATGAAGAAATCTCAGCAGAAAAGAGCTCTTCCAGATTTGATGGTGTTAGTGTCTTAGACCTACAAGATCGACCCACTGAAACAGCACCAGGACGAGGCTGTAAGAAACAGCTCAGGTCATTCAAAAGCTGCTGTTGGCCATCAAAATCAGGCAACATATTCAAGTCTTCAGGTGGAATGTCACGAGCACTGAGAGAAGACCTCAAGCGACTAGATTGAGGATTGCTTCCTGGTAAATGAAGAGCTGGCACATTTGCCTGGGCCCAAGCACCAGATGAGAGTGAGATGCCATTGGCGGATGGAGACATCGGCTGGGCAAAGTGGGATGGAGACATGGAAGACACTGAGGAAGGTGAACCAGGAAAAAGGCTCATTGCAGCAGCCATGTCCATGACATGAGCAGAGGCAGAAGAACGTGGCGAAGGGACAGCAGATCCAGTAGACACATACAGTGGACGCAGTTCCTCTGCAGTGTGAGCAAAAAAACACACCCTTCTATTGCAGCTAGTGCCATCTTTGCAGAGGCGTGTTCGATACTGAGCTGGGTGTAGCCAGCACTCAAACACTCCGTGAGCATATTCACACATATCTCCGCGTCTACAAGCCCCTTTCCGAAAATCAGGGCATGGCACACAACTGTAGTGGAACTTTCTGGGGTCTCTCCTACGAGCATTCTCTCCAGGATGAACAAATGGACACTCAGTCCAATCATGAGAATATGCACGGGAACAAGGACGGACCTTGAATGAAAACATACGAAATTCATCTGTTGCGTATATGCTGTTTTTAATGTCAGGAAGTGATGGATCAATTGGGTATTCTTTCTTCTCTGATAGAGAGTTAATAGCTGCATCAGCAAACTTTGAAGCCACAGGAGAAGGTGGTGAGGCCGAAGGAGAGTATGGAATCCCATTTTCAAGTGAAGATAAATGGGCAGGGGAACCAGGACTGGAAGAACTAACCGAAACCGGTACAGAGAAGTCACCAACAGATTCATCAGAAGCACCCTCCGAAAGAAGTTCCTCAAGACTAGCTTTCATGCCTTGCAACTTGGGAGGAACAGTAATAACATCAACAGGACGATTTCCATTAGCATCAATGCAATTAAGATCAGCACCAGCCGATAACAGAAGCTTCACAGCATCAACTGCATTAACAGACCCACCAGAAGCAGCACAGTGAAGGGCAGTGCTTTTATTCATCCCACAGGAGAAATTTACATCTGCCTCGGGACACGAGAGTATAAACTTCAGAACATCGATGCTACCATATGTAGCAGCAACCATCAAAGGAGTTCTGTGCTCAAGAACAATTTGTTTGGAACCATTTTGACGAACATACCAGGTCCCAATTTCATTAATTGAAGAAGCTTCCTTCTCTAAAAGTAGCTGAAAACCTTCAATATCATTGTTAGAAGCAAGTTCCAGTAAACTGGAAAAAGAATCTTCAGTATTAACAGTTAGAGTTTTCATATTGTTAACGTTAGTTGAAACTTGAACAGCTGATGAAGAAGACGAATCTGAAGGAGATTTTGATTTCTTTGGACCACTGCACATGCTTCAGTTAACTGGACCAAAACACAATCATGAAAATATTAAACAACTATTGCTCACAGATAAACTTTTCAAGAAAAAAATAATAATAACCAAATCTGCCAGAGAAAGAACACAATTACACAAACGACAAAAATGAAATTGTTACCTCTACAGACTTTGGATTCTAACAACAGGTTAAGCAAATATAATGCTACTGCATATATATATATATATATATATATATATATATATATATATATACACACGAAAGAATCTGTTTACAAACTTGTTTTACAAATTACACTAACTATGACGCACTATGACCCTACATAGACTCACTCGATTGAAGTATGACCGGTAATAGGTAATCCTTAGTTTGTACGAGTTTGTAAACAAAAAATTTATAAATATAACATTTCCATATATTACAATAAAATTATTTAATAATAACAATAAATCATAAGACGGCACAGCATCTATTAAAGTATTAATAAATCAGTGGCTGGATATAACATATAAATGCATTACTTCACCCCTAAGTTAATGACACAACCACAGGAAAAAAAAAAAGTGAAAACAGATCTAAGGTAAATCTAGAATCATCTTAATCAGAATGATGTTAAAGTTAGCCATAAAAACAAAACAGTCGCAAAAATAAAATAAAATAAAAAGGAAAAGGAAAAAGATCAGAGAGTGAAACTTTTTCTCATCTAAGGGGGAAAAGAAAATACCACACCTCTTACTAACATCAGGGATCTACACGACTAGAAGAATTACACAAAGATTATCAACAAAAATTAAGGGGGGAAAGTGAAATTTAGCATGATCGTGTAAACTTTTAAATTCAAAACATCAGTTATAACCGATCATAAAAAATAAATAAGAAGTAAAATCCTAAAAAAATGAAATTCCTGAAAGCGTGACTTTCTTTTCATATCTGCAATAAATATTCACCAGGTCAGAAAAGAGACTCACCGATTACAGGCTGAGGAGGTGAAGATCATCTTGGAAAATCGAAAGAATTTGCAACGAAATCAGAATGTGAAAAGAGAAAATGTGAATAGTCGAACAGTAACAAGCAACAGAGATCTGGAACAGAGAAGAGTTAAGGCTTCACTCTCCATCGATGATGCCGAGGGAACATGGGAGAAGAGTTTGGAAAGGAGGAAGAGAGAGAAAGTAGTGTTTGGAGAGAGAGAAAAGGTAACGTCTCGAAATTGAAATGGAAATGAAATGCAGGAAAATTTAGGGCGAATTTAAGAACAATTGCTAAATGAGAGTGAAATGGTGCTGAAATACACGCCAAATGAAGTCCAAATGAAGTCTCTGGACTGGATCTTCGGGAACCGGATAGGTCGGTCGGAGGGAAAGTAGGGATTGAAACGGATTGCAACGAGAGAGACCGGTTGAACCGGTTAACCGGTGTGAGTGGATTTATTCGGAAATAAAAGTGGAATGAAATGAGGACTTGGAGTCCGCCAATAACAGATTGACTTGTGTTCCAATGATCGGAAAGTAAGGACAGTGGTCAATTGTGATAATTGTTTGTCAAATCCAAAGGGCACCATAACAAAAAGAGTTTTATTAGTTGGAAGTTAAAGAGCAAAGCGACTCCCTCGTCGGAATTACGGTGATTAGGTTGGTTGTAAAGATATTAAATATTTTTGGTTATAAATATATTTTTCTTTTATTTTAAATGGTATAAATTATATTATTTTATAGACATAATGAGGTGGGATTACTAGAAGAAAAAAAAAACTTCAAAAAATTTCCTGTAAATTTTCTCCTAATCATTTATCTCATTCCCAAAATTTTAAAGAGAAATACTACTCTCATTTTACATGAGGTAATTATCTTTTTTTCTCTCACTTCGAAAATCGTGCCCCTCCTTTTTTCTTTTTCTTTTTTACTTTTAAATAGCGGGTCCTACTTGGATTCTCTCTGTACTCGCATGTTACATGAGAATAATATTACCCCATCTAAATCACTTACTCTCATAACTTAAAGTTTTTTTATAACTTACACCTAAATTAGGAGGGTAAGGGATAAAGAATCTTTGAATTAGGGAGATAAGTAATAAAGAAATTTTAAGAAAAGATGTAAATTATTCAAAATTTTGGGAGGGGGTAAGTGATTCTAGAGAAAATTTATAGGCTTTTTTTTTGAAGTTTTTTCCAAAAAATAAAGATGTGGACCCACATCTCTTTGTGTTTATGAAATGACAGAACTTGTATCATTTAAAATGACACACCTTCTTTTTCTTGGAAAATAATGTTATATATATAGAGAGAGGTAGGATCCTTTGACACCGGTGTCAAAATTAAAGTTTGACACCTCTTCTGAGAGCCGTTAGATCAAAAAAGATCAACGACTCTGATTTATAAGCATGTGATACCGTTGATCTTTTTTGATCTAACGGCTCTCAGATGAGATGTCAAACTTCAAATTGGACACCGTCAAAAGATCCTACCTCATATATATGTATATATGGAATTGATCTTTGTCTTTTTAAATGACATAGAATTATATCACTTTAAATGAAATAAAATATACACAATAAAAATAATGGGGAGAAAAAGTGGGAGCTTTTTTTAATTTAAATTTTAAATAAAAAATACTAATTTTAACTAAAATAATCATCCTTTAAAAGGACAAATATTTTTCATATATATATATATATCTGTGTGTGTGTGTGGTTCGATTTTTCTGCAGTCATTTTACGTGCAGCAGTGACAAATTTTCTATATACATAGGTTAAAATATTTAATGTGGAAAATTATAACCATACAAAAGGTGAAAGCATTAAATATGAGAAATTATAACTATACACATGTCATTGCTGCACGTACAATAATTTTAGATATACTTTTACCATATATATTTAGGGTTCATCTAATCTCATGTTGCACGAGAGAAGATCTCTCAAGTTGTACACCCACGTGTGGTGGGGCCCATCATTTGCCAAAAAAAAAAAGTGCCACGATTTTTGATGGGTCTATTGGAGATAAAACTATTCTTCTGTTGCACAAGAGTAGTTTTTCCCATATATTTATATATAGGGTTAGGATCATTTTACACTAGTGTAAGTTACACTCTCAATCTTGTCCACTGATTCCACTTATATCTAAGGGTTTAAATTTTTTAGTAATGTGAGTCATTGGATACAAGTGGATCAATGATCAAGATTGAGTGTAAGACTTATAATTCTTACAACGGTGTAAGAATATCCTGCACCTTATATATATATGTATATATATATATACATAGGGTTCACTTTTTCTATTGTCAATGTAGATAACTTACCTACATTGAGTCCAAAACGACGTCGTTTTAAAGCAAAAATCAATGTATTTTTGTAATTATAATTTATTTCAGGGTTATAATAGTCTTTTTCATTATAATTTTTTAATTTTTCAACCTAAAACGACATCGTTTTGGGAGTGAATGCATATAACTTATCTACATTCACTGTAGAAATATTAAAGCCATATATACATATATATGTTGATAGATTATTTCAAAATATTATAATATTAATATTATTTATGTGTGTGTGTGCGCACTTGTACATAGGTATGTGTGCATATATGTGTTTGCGTGTGCTTGTGCGTCTGTGTGTGTGCATGTGTGAATTGTGGAAGTAGATAACAATTCTTTCTTGAATACTATTATTAATTTTTTTATGAGATGTTATATTTACTACCAAGTAAGTTTACCGCCTCTTACTACCTATTTTATAACCACCGGATGAATTCAAATCAACGGATGTCATTTGATCCAAAAAAAAAAATCTCTCTCTTCAACCACCCCCCCCCCCTCTTTTTTTCTCTCACTTTCCCTCTTCTATCATGTTCTGATTACCACAATCCAACGATTATAAACAAGATAATAAGAGGTGGTAAACTTACTTGGTAATATCTAATAAGTATAACATTCCCTTAATTTTTTTAAGGAAATATATTGTAGTATAAACATTTTTTAGGTTAAATTGTAGTTCATTATTACCTTTGTTAAAAATATTAATACGTTTTGCAAAGTAATAAAATAAAATCTTGTTTTTTATATAAAACAAGTTATCATTATACAAAATAATATTTTTAAGAAATAACTTTATGCTTTGATAAGATTTTTACAAGTAAAAATATGTAACTTGATTTTAAATTAAAATATATATTGGGTAAATATAAGATTGAGATATATTGTACAATATAGAACATTGTCTTGTTATTTAAAAAAAACAAAACCTTGAAGGGATTGGGCTCTCAAAAATTCCTTCATCAATATCTTAACAGCATTTTATAATACTTTTTTCAAGTTCAAGCTATAATACATACCCATTACTATTCTATGGACAAATATTATTGCACAAATTTACACTCATATCACTAGATATTAATTTATTGACAAGAAAAAAATAAAATTTATCAATAACGAATTGACCAACAATATAATTATTAATACATTTTCTTATTAATTAAAAAAAATTTGTTATAAAAACTTTTGTCACTAATGCCATCACATAAACCTAAAATAATATTTAGTGACAAAATTTTCGTGATGGAAATATATCGTCTCAAAAGTATTTTGTCACGAGCTTTATTATTGGTGTAGTCCTTTGTGTTGGATTTTTCCTCCTTCAGTGTATAACAATGTTTAAAAATTGGCTCGGACAGGCCAGTTCAACCCGATAATCGATGAACCAGGCATCTAACCGGTTCGAGTAACACATCAGATCGGTTATGCATCTAAATCGGTAAAAATCGTATCAACTCGGCGGGTTTGCATGAAAATCTGAGACTCGTGACTCGCTTTAAATCGAACAAGCTTGACCACAAAGTTCAAGGTTTTTACTTTTTAGTTCCTCAAGCGAGTTATAAAGAGTATGTTTTGTCATGCTTTAGTCAGTGTAGAACTCGAATTCAGAGAATTAGACAAAGGCCATGGGGCAAGTGGGGCTCGACGTTTGACTTCCACAAAGGCTTTTTAGCCGAGAATGAGTGACCGAGTACGTCCCAACAGTGGTATAAGAGCCCGGGTTCGACGGGTTCTGAATGAGAAGAAATGAAGACAATTGGAATATTACATGATTGAGATATGTTCAAGCTGACCGCGGACAACTTCACTTACTAGAGACCGATGATGGAGGACCATTTGTACTGCAAAGACCTATATGAGCCAATTGTCCTTTATGAGAGGCCTGAAGGAAAAACTGATAAGGAGCGAGAGATCCTGAGTAAGAAGGCATTAGCCACGATCAGGAAATATATTGACAAAAGCCTCTTTGATCACGTGTTCGAATTCACGAATGCGTACAAGTTATGGACGAAGTTGGAGTCCATGATTCAGAAGAATACTCTCAAGAACAAAGCACACTCGGTTCACTGACTTGTGAAGCTCGAATACAAGGACGACATGAGCATAAATGAACACCTCAACACCTACAAAGGCATTGTGAATCCGCTGTCTAAAGCCGAGATGAAAATTGATGACGAGATGCAAGCGTTGTGTGTAACGCCCGGCCGCTTCAAGAATCAACAACTATCCCCACATACTAACACGAGACTTTTCAGTGTGCTTTTTCCTCACTCGCACACTTCTCGGGAAAACTTCCCAGGAGGTCACTCATCCCAGAATTGCTCCAAGTCAAGCATGCTTAACTATGGAGTTCTTCCGTTCCGGGCTACTGAAAAGAAGATACATCTTGTTATTATAGGTAGTACCAATTAATTCTTATAAGTCATTCCCAACTGTACCGTCCCATACCAGCATAGTCTCTGGAATCCCTCTCTTTCGGGTGTTGATTCGATTCATTCATGTTAGTATAGGTAGTACCAATTAATTCTTATAAGTCATTTCCAACTGTACCGTCCCATACCAGCATAATCTCTGGTATCCCTCTCTTTCGGGTGTTGATTTGATTCATTCATGTACCCCGTCCCTATAAGCCTGCAAGGAACCGCTCCTTGTTTGTGCCCTTTCGCACCGGCGATCACTCCCCGCCCTCGTCAGCGCCCGGGATGTTACATGCCCACCTGCTTCCGCCTGGTTCGTCCTCGAACCACACCGTACTGAAAAAGATGCCCTGCTCTGATACCACTTGTAACGCCCGGCCGCTTCAAGAATCAATGATTATCCCCACATACTAACACGAGTCTTTTCAGTGTGCTTTTTCCTCACTCGCACACTTCCCGAGAAAACTTCCCAGGAGGTCACCCATCCCAGAATTGCTCCAAGTCAAGCACGCTTAACTATGGAGTTCTT